TTGGTATTTGATAGAACTACAAAGGGAATTTAAAAAAAATATTTGAGACTAACATATTTTAGCAGATGCTTTATTTAACAAATCCAACAAGCTAATTCCGTGATTGTGTACATTTTTGTGTGGGTAGCTTGTAACCCCTGTAATAATGTCCTTTTTATCTCTAATCGCAGTTCTCTGAGTCTTCAAGCTAGAAATGAACCTTGTGGTTTTGCTGCACATAGTATTGACATTCAAGCATACTCAATTAGCAGGCTAAGCCTTTGGTCCAGTTTGGACTAGAAAAGAAACAAAATAGAACAATTTGGGGACTGACATAAGCATCAGCAGCACAAATAAGGAAATGTGAACAAATTATTTGACAATTCAGTTAAAATTTTAAAATAAATAATTACAAAATAATTCATATAACTTCTGTGTGAAGTTAGCTTTCAAAGCAGGCAAAGAGATTAGATCATGGTTAATCATGCCAAAGGGTACTCATTAACCTGTGTTTATTTCAGCTAGAGTTGGTATTGATTGGAGAGGATTCTTCGTGTTTCCATATGATCAGCCTATCCTTGCTGCTGATATTGATCAGACTTTCTCATTCATGCAGTGCAAGTATCCGCATGTTGCATCACATCCCTTTCTGGTTTTAATCAGTGAATTATGTTTCCTCTGTGCTAATCTGCTCAGATTTAGGTTTTTTACTTTTTCATGTTTAAAGACCCTTATGATACAAATGAGTATTGTAGTTGAACTTAGTTTTGTAAATTACAGAGAATCATTCAAGTTCTTTCACCACTGCTAAGAGTGAATGCTTCATTTAACATTATTTCGGCTTACTATCTCAGGAAGGCACATCAGCTAAATACATTTCTGGAATCAAGTAAAAGCTTCTAGCATTGGCAGAACCAACCAATGAATAAATTTCTAATTACTTGATTTTGACAGACGTGTCTCTGAAATTCTGCAGAAATGACCATTTGGAAGCTGTCATTGACTGGCGGGTCATCAAACAAAACTTATTCTCATTAATTTTGGTTTTGTTGAATTCATCTCTTCCCAATAGTTGGAGGTTTTTGAAAAGGAATAGAACTAGCATAGCAGAAAAGGTCACGTTCTCCCTTTACTGCACATGCATGGCCAGTAATTAACTCCCAGAGGCCCGCAGTCGTCATCCGTGGCTGAGATTTTTGGAGTGTTATATGAGTGAAAATAATTCTAATTCTTTAGCACCAGTTAATGTGATAGATACTGTGTAAACTTCACAAAGATGCCAGAACCTCCACCATCTTCCATCCTAGTGATCTTTTGGCAAGGCCATATTATTTATTATTTATTTCTGATAACATAATTGTTCCGCAAAATACATGGGAAAGCAAAATGTTAGATGCTTATCCTCCTTGGACAATGGTAGAAAATGAGCAATCTTTTTTTAAATTATTTTTATTTTATTTTTATTAAGAAAAGAGAAAATAGGATTCTTATGCCTCAAGACATCTTTTATTTCTAAATTTTATTTAAGATATACAAATTCCATGTATTTCATATATACAGATTTAGGAACATAGTGATACTTCCCACCCCATCCTTTCTCCTGCCCATGCTCCTACCCTCCCTCCTCCTCTTTGTCACACCCATGCTAAATATCAAGAAGCCAGCATTAATGAAGCTTATCTTTAACAAACTGATGCGAGTCTTTCAGTTACACCAAAAATGTAATTAACTGGGCCAGGGTTTTTAAACGATGTTTGCCAATATGACAAATCAGAAAATATTTTCTCTGAATGGCCCCATTGCCACTCCTGGCTGTGAAAGGTTTTTGTTTTCCACCCTTTCCTGCTCTGCTTTCTGGAATAGGATTTCACCGTGGATAATGGATGAAAGAAAATGCGTGGGGAAAGTAGAGATATGTGTGGCTTATAAGTGAATGTTTGACTTCCCTCTGCAGCCTCCTGCGTGTATAACTCACTACCTCTTCCTGAACACGCTTCCTAAACTGTAACTCATATCTTTGTGGCACCAAACTGCAGCTCTGTGTCTTCCAGGACATCATCGTTGGGTTTAATGACTTCAGTGAAAACTTGACTTTCTCTCAGATAAGATTGCAGACACATTTCTAGAAGCTTGATCCAAGAATGTTAGAATTTCAGTGACTTTAGAAATTAGATCATTATGTGCAACTTATAAGCATATCTGGCTGCCATATTGAAATTGGCCAAAAATTACATCTAGCACTTGTTGAGCACTTACAATGCGAAGGAGACTGCTCTAAGTAATTTTCATATATTATCTTATTTTCTCCCTGAAAACAACTCAGAGATGGTTAGTATCATCCCTATTTTGTGGATGAGTAAACTGAGGTACAGAAAAGCTATCAAAGGAGCCTAAAGTCATAGCCTGTCATCTGGGATGTGAATGCAGACAGACTGTTCCAGAGCATGTAGCCTTCACTGTTATCTCATGCTACTGTCTGAGATGGGATGCTGCAGTATTTTAAAAGTAACATAGTCCCCCAAGTAATTTCTGATAATATACTGTTCAGGAATTGCATTCTGTCATTATAGGCATTTCAATGGTGAAAAAATGCTGATAACATTACTTGTCCATTTACATTTAGCAAACTTGGGGAAGCTCTTTAGTAGAAAGCCTAAATTGGGAACTCTTTATATACATACACACACACACACACACACACACTCATATATATGGAACTCTCTATATATATGTATATACACATATATGTGTATATGTATATATGTACATATATACATATATATGTATATATATAAAGATTTATTTATTTTTTTTTATTTGACAGATAGAGTTAGAGAGAGAGACAGAGAGAAAGGTCCTCCCTCCGTTGGTTCACCCCCCAAATGGCCGCTATAGCCAGAGCTACGCCAATCCGAAGCCAGGAGCCAGGTGCTTCCTCTTGGTCTCCCATTTGGGTACAGGGGCCCAAGCACTTGGGCCATCCTTCACTGCCCTTCTGGACCACAGCAGAGGGCTGTACCAGAAGAGGAGCAACCGGGACTAGAACCTGTCGCTCCCCGTCTTCGTGGAGGAACGACACAGGACCCTGCGCTGTTCTTTTGTCTGCTCGGCCCTCCCCGGGTTTGCTGCTGGTTCTTCCTGGGTTGGCTACCAACCCTTCCACCTCCATGGAAGGGCGGTTCCCCCTGCCACTTTCCCCACTTCCACGGGGGAGCAGCACACCACTGGCTGGCTCTCTCGGGGGCTGCACAGGTGTTCCTTCAGATAGATGTTCCTGGTGCATGTTGTCTCTCTCCTCCTTTATAGTCCTCTTCCACCAATCCCAACTCTGCTACCCACACGCCGAGTACACTGCTCTCCTCCAATCAGGAGCAGGTCCTACAGTTTATTGGTTGAACTGGAGGCAGCTGTGTAGAAGCTGTTTCCTCCTCTCCCAGCGCTATATTGTGGGAGAGCAGATGCATAGAATAAGTCTTAATTCCAGTAACTTAGTCTAGTCCGAGTTGCTCCCAGTTGCTCCCCACAGAACCCGGCGCCCATGTGGGATGGCGGTGCCACAGGGGGAGGATTAACCAAGTGAGCCACAGCGCTGGCCCCTATTTATTTGAAATCCAGAGTTATACACAGAGAGAAGGAGAGGCAGAGAGAAAGAAGTCTTCCATCTGTTGGTTCACTCCCCAACTGGCCACAACGGCTGGAGCTGTGCCTATCCAAAGCCAGGAGCCAGGAGCTTCCTCCAGGTCTTCCCATGCAGGTGCAGGGGCCCAAGGACTTGGGCCATCTTCCACTGCTTTCCCAGGCCATAGCAGAGAGCTGGATTGGAAAAGGAGCAGCTGGGACTTTTACCAGTGTCTGCATGGGATGCCAGCACTCCAAGTGGCAGCTTTACTTGCTATGCCACAGTGCCACCCCAGGAACTCTTAATATATATGTTTTGTTTTGTTACAGAATGTTTGCTTGTGTTTATCTAATTTCTATTTATTAATGTTTTTGTCAAAGTCTCCTTGTAGCCTCTTCCTTGGGAACATTGATGGATTTGCTAGTGAACTGTTATTGATTACTTTATGCAACATAGTGCTAATTATTAACCTTCTTTAGCCATAATCCTACATATTTACTATATAGCAGTACTTTTTTTTTTTAAGTGGTTGGATTTTTAAAAATTTCCCTCCAGCTTTGTTGTGGAGAAATTGACAAAGGAAACCTATATACGTTTAGGAATCACACCATGATGATTTGTTATACACACACATTGTGAAATAATCACTGCAGTTACCACCTGTGTATCTGTATGTAGACAGGTGAGAACAAGTTCAGCACAGTATTATTAAAGAAATTCTGAACCTTTAAATTAACCAAGCACTTAGCTATTCTGGCATTAACTTTACAGTGTGAAAAGTCTGTACAGACGGCTCATTCTTAAAGGAGAAACAGTGTCATCTTACCTTCTTGACTTCATGTATCAAAACCTCAAAATAGATAAATCAGCCAAGAATACATCTGTGGTATACTCTTGGTGACATCCAGTAGGAACCCTGCTAGCTGAATGACATATCTGAGACCCTAATCAACATTTTCAGCTGCATTGGTGAAAGGAATTCTGGGTGATTTGGGGGATGTTGATAAGCAACCTCTTCATTAGGGTGAGGCTTTATTTTAAGACTGCATCAAGTGGGCCAGAGCCGTGGCTCAGTAGGCTAATCCTCCGCCTGCGGCGCCAGCACCCCGGGTTCTAGTCCCAGTTGGGGCACTGGATTCTGTCCTGGTTGCTCCTCTTCCAGTCCAGCTCTCTGCTGTGGCCCGGGAGTGCAGTGGAGGATGGCCCAAGTGCCTTAGCGGCCATTTGGGGGATGAGCCAATGGAAAAAGGAAGATCTTTCTCTCTGTCTCACTGTCTAACTCTGCCTGTCAAAAATAAAAATCAAGTGAAGTTTAGAATTCTGTATCCATTATTAGAATGCTGTTATTGTATCGCAGCAGAATGTTGAACATTGATTCTTTGCCATTTTTTTGTTTTTATAGATGTTCGAAGAAGAACAATTTATGAGTATCACCGAGTAGAGCTTCAAATGTCAAAAATTACCAACATTTCTGCTGTGGAAATGACCCCATTACCTAGTAAGTTAATATGTGAATATGGTTAGTTGGCCAAAATGTTTGACAAGTTTAATAATCTGTTCAGTAATTATAATGTTAATGTTAATCATGCAAAGGTACTTCAAAGAGTTTGTAGAAATAGAATAAGATTTAAGAGTTCATTTGGGTGCAAAAGCTTTTTGATACAATTTTTTTTAATACATGGAAAATACAGTTCAAAAATGTTTGGCCCCAAAATGAACTCATAGTTTTAATCCATTTTCCACACACTTTTGGGAGTATCCTCATAGAATTGTAATTGCATTCAACATGCATAGGTGTTTTGATCCAGAGTGTATGTGGGGACAGGTGGTGATTTTTATTTTGGTTGAGCAATCCTTTTTCCCTGCACATCGCCAATTAGTCTTGAAATGGTCTCTCTTATTTCCTAGCATGTCTCCAGTTTAATGGTTGTGGCCCCTGTGTGTCCTCTCAGATTGGCTTCAACTGCAGTTGGTGTAGTAAACTTCAAAGGTAAAAAATAATAGAAGAAAAATTTTCAAAAGACTTGTTGTCTCTGCTCCCACTGAATTTTAGGTGTATGCCAAGTATGTAGACTATGTATAATTAACAAGTGTATATATGTAAAAAATGCACACGCACCCACACCCATGAAGAGGAAAAATAGTGCTCAAAATGACAAAGAACCTTGATAGCCAATGAAATAATCTAAAATATATTTAGAATTCTCTGTGGGGCTTAGCACATATGATGGTGTAGTTGATGAGTCTCAATTGATGACTTGGTCCACATCCTACAGAAAGCATGGACTCAGCCATCTGTTCTACAGCAAGGATAGGTAATAATCATCACATGCATTTTCTTAGAGAATTCCTGGACAGTATCTCGAGGTTATCAGCCAATAGTAAAGACACACTACCTGAACTTTACATAAACTGACCTTGTACTTCTGGCCTCACATTGTAACTATTTGGAAACCTGAGCTGGGTAAGCTGCTGCTGTCAAGTTTACTGAGTTTCATGAGTGGCAGAGTATGTTTCTGTTCCTAGAGATTTTCAAGGGCTGAATGCTCATTTGTGGGAAATGCAGGATGAAGACTTGCAAGTGTGTTTTGTTATTTATTCAGCCATTTTGTGCCAGAGCTCTGTCCCAGGCGCTGGAAGCACACAGTGAATAGTGCCGTTAATGTGATCCCAGCCCGCCATGGGGTTTATACTGCAGCTGGGAGAAAGTCTCCCACTCGTCCTTTGAGCCTGCAAGAGATCGGCTTCCTCCCCAGGTGGAAAACCAGATGCTGGTGTTGATACTCAAGGAAGGCTGCGGCAGCACTTCCGGGGGCGTCAGCACTGTGTGCACACTCGCCTTCTGGCTGCAGCCTGGTTTGTAATGATAAAGACATGTTCAGGAATATTTTAGACCTTACTGAAGAACAGAAAAACAGAATGCCAACTCCTTGACAGCAAGTTTTAGGAAACTTGATAACTCACAAACATTAGTACAACCACTGCAGTATTGTGGCTAGAACATTATTGACGATAATCAAGGTTTCATTTTCCACTTAGAGTGATTTCAGTGATTTCCTTAATAAAATGAATTTCGAATAGTGAAAAAGCAAATGGGCAATTAGCATTTTTTTAAAAAGAGTTTTTATTAATATAAAGAGAAAGATTTCATGTCTTTCAAAGATAACAGTTCTGGGACCGGCTCTGTGGTGTAGCAGGTTAAGCCGCCACCTGTAGTGCCAACATCCCAAATGGGTGCTGGTTCAACACTCGGCTGCTCCACTTCCTATCCAGCTCTCTGTCATGGTCTGGGAGAGCAGTGGAAGATGACCCAAGTGCTTGGGCCCCTGCACCCAAGTGGGAGACCTGGAGGAAGCTCCTGGCTCCTGGCTTCGGGTTGACATAGCTCAGGCCGTTGAGGCCATCTGGGGAGTGAACCAGCAGATGGAAGACCTCTCTCTCTCCCTCTCCCTCTCCCTCTCCTTCTCCTTCTTTCTCTCTTTCTCTCTCTCTCTGCCTCTCTCCTTCTCTCTGTGTATAACTCTGACTTTCAAATAAAATAAATGAAATCTTCAAAAAAAGAGAGATAACAGTTCTAAGAATGTAAGGATACTTGCCTTCCTCCCTCCTTCCTTATTTTCTTTTAAATTTTTGTGATAACATACTTTAAATTTATTTTATAATCACGGGATTACTACTCCATTAACTAAAGTGATCAACAAGTAAAACATAGAAAGACTGCTGTTCCACAGGAATGTAGCCAAGGGCTATAAACAATAGTCAAGTCATAAGATGCCAATTTCACCCTTATATATTCATTTTTTTTGTCAAAGTACATTTTAACTTAGTAATATACCCAGAGTGAGAAGAATTGCTAAAAACCAGAGACTTAGGGTTATTTTTATGTGTATTTCACTATGATTCCATAAAGATTACATGCGTAACAGAAGTTACTCAGTCTATTTATATTTAACAAAAGGAAGCAAGTAGCATTCGAGCGCTCACATATGTTTAAGTGACACTAAGTTCAGAAATAAGAGTTGTCCAGAACAACTAAGGAGAAGGCCGTGGTTTGGCCTTCTTCAGACTTTCTTCAAGATGCAGTTTAGTGCTCGCCTCTGCAGCTGTGAGAGTTGTCTCCCCGCCTCTGTTGTTAGCAGTTAGCATAGGGCCTGTGGGCACTGCTTCACTTACCTGACCGCCTTTGCCAGGCTCTAGGTAGGGTAAGGTGAGGACCATAGCAACTTGTCCTAAGTCTCCGTGGCCTAAGAATGTACCTGGTACTTGGAGGAATGAATGAATTGTGATTAGTTTCTCTGTGATGCAGTTTCCCAGGATGAAGGACATCCAGGGTTAAACTCGGGAGAGTCCTAGGAAAACCAGGTAGAGCAGACCACTCTAGCCAGAGTACAATTAAGATGACCCCCCAACTGAAATAACGTTATGGTAACTGAAAACTGTTGCATTCACGGTTTTATAATTTATATGTAATTTATATTTTGGAGGAAAGAGTATGTTTAAATTTCCAAATAAGCCATTTTGGCAGTCAGAACATATCTGTTAAAATCTGCTTCTGTTAATATTTTTGCTTTATTGGGAGCTTTTTTGCTGGACCTCATGACAGGGAATTTCTAGATATTCCATTCCACAACATTTTTGCAGCACAGGAAACTAAGATTTGTGGAAGCTAAGTTATTTGTGCAAGGTTTCATAACTTATAAGTGATATCTTTGGAACTGAACCTCAATCTGTGTGACTTTTAGCTTTTGATCGTTGTATCTGTTGGCTTTACACCTGCCAGGGGTTACCCATGCATTAAACAAACTCATATTCATTGCTTGCTAGGAAATAGTAGAGGTACTACTGGGAAAATGAATCTTTTCTTACTTGATGCTGCAGAAAAGTGACATGGTTTTCAAATTGCCATGAGAGGAACGCAGAGAAGGCAATGCAGCCTGAGACTTTTGCATGCGATTGAAAACATAGGTTTTTTTTTTTTTTTTTTTTTTTAGAGTAAATGGAGAAAGCAAGTAGTTTGTGGCAAAGATGGCTAAATAATGAAGCCAGTTTGAATCTGTGTGTACTAATGAGCTGCTTTTTTCTGTTGAGACCATCATTATTTGTCTTACCCGAGAGGCAATTACCTGAATTGGATGTCTGAAATGTAACTTATGCAGGAATAGTTCTGGAAATACATTTAAATAAACTGTAAGGATATTTAATAAATATGTGTACTTAGAGAAAAGGTGAGTGGAGAAAAGCAGGATGGTGATGCACACGAATGACAGGTACATCCATCACCGAACACACCTAAAAAACTCTGCCTTTTCTGCATGTTACTGTCAGGTGTTTTGTTGAATTCCAAACACTGATTTAAAACTTGGATTTATTTTTAATTCTTCAGCAGCCCAGTTACGTACATATCAAAACATGTTTAATTGCCGTGAGTATGGCTCACTGCACTTTTGTTCAACTTAATTTTGCACTGCATTTTGTTAATTCCTCCTTAGATCTGTGAGTGTCAAAACTTTGCAGTCCTTTCTGGCAGAATTTCCCTAGATTTCAGAGCTTTTGTGAAAAATTCTACAAATTAAGAGAAATCTTATCCTAAGCAGCACAAAAATCACCCCTCAGTGTGTTTTCCTTTCATCCAACATTCTTGCTTGCTTCTGTGTGTTCATTTATTCTAGCATAATTATCTCTTGGGAGAAGTTATTGAATGTTCAAAAGATAAGGTAATTTTAATTGGCTTGTTTATTTCCTTTAATTCCCATTTTTCAGGGAGCAAAAAGCTAAGGGAAAATGTTTGTAAAAGTTTGTCTAAGGTCTGAGAGAATTTGAATTACAGGGACATACAATGAGATCCATATTTGAAAGTGCTCACCAAAAATACTTGACCTGTTTTCTGTATACGAGTGCTTTGTTTCCTCGCCGCAAGTTGGGAGGACCCACATCAATTACTTTCAACTATACTGTATGTCGTTACTCATTCAACAGAAGTTTTTGAGTGTCTCTGTTCAAGTTGCTATGTGACTTGTAGACTCTGTAGTGAGAGAGGAGACAAAATCATTTCCTTAAGATAACTTACATTTTTAGAATTGGGATGTAGATTTTAGAAAAATATAGGCAATAGTGTTAGTAGCAATGAGTACAATGGCAAGAGAAATTAGCAGACAATCTAAGAAGAAGCATACCAAAATTGATAAAAAATAACATGAGCTGATTTATTGGTATTATTTTTAACCAATCTTGCCCTTTTGAAGAATCCTTGGTTTGAACAGCCATCATCATCCAAAAGTTTGTTTTTTTTAATTGAAAATATATTCTGGCTCTTAAAATATTCATTTGTTCGTTCGTTTACTTAATAATGTACTGAATACTTCCCACAAGCCAGGCACTGACTTCAACAATGAGGGGTTAGAACAACAATCAAGTATTAATCCAAGCCAAGTGCTCACAGAGGTTGGCATTTAGCTTAATAAGCTAGAAAATAAAGAATTAATAATTAAACAGAAAGTCAGATGGTGATGAGTGATATACTGAATTTGAAAGAGCCAGTAGTTGGGGCAAGCGTTGTAGCACAGCCAGCTCAGTTGCCACGTGGGACACTTGCATTCCATGGTGGAGTCTCTGGTTGTTGCCAGCATTTGGATAATGAACCAGCGATGGAAGATTCTCTCTCTCTCTCTCTCTCTCCCCCCCTCTCTCCCCCCCCACCCCATCGTACTTTCAAATAAATAAATGAATCTCAAAAAATAAATAAGAGAACCAAATGTGTTAAAAAAAACACACACACACACAGTAAAAACAAGTTAGTAGTTGTTTTGATTGGATAGCCAGCAGGGATTCTAGGAAAAGGTAACAGTTAAACTAGGCTCTTAATGATCAGGAGCCAGCTATTGCAGAGAAAGCAAAGAGTATTTCAAACTGAGTGGCAAGTGCAATGGCCCTGTGGTGGGTTCAGGCTAAGGAAAGAAGTTCAGTGAGGTGAGGGTATTGTGAGCTGGACAA